GCTCCAAATACAACTGGATGACTGTATTTTAACTCCCATGTGCATAGGTCCCAAATAGCTGCTGGAATCGCCCAAACTTGATTGTAACTACCAGTCATGCATACTGAAGTTGACAACTTAAGGGGGCGAAGCCTAAAGATTAGATTTTATTTTAAAATCATCCAAATTGACAGAGGAATCAAATAAAGTAGATGAAAGAGAACCTTTTTAAAAGGCATTCCAATAATAAAATGCCTGGAACAATATTTAAAGAGGAACGCCAGTCGTTTATTAGAAAAAAAAAAAAAGACTGAGGTGACGGGAGTCACTTTGGGTGGGGGGACCATGGAACACAGCCCCCTTTAGAGAGGTGGGGAGACCCCTGTCTCAGCTCCCCATATCCCTCTTATGTGTAAGTCACCCTGTTCCTGTTAGGGGTACAGGGTAGAATGTCCTGCTATTGTGTAGACATGTATAGGTGGGGTTGTTCATTGTTCACTGCCATAAGGCTGCATCCCATTGTTCTATTGTGTGTCTTGCTTGGGAGCAAACTATTACGGGATGTATGTGTTTGTGTATTGGCTTGGTGGGGGGTGTTTCCGTCAGCCCTTCCTCCTGATGGGACTGCCTGCTGATGTGTTTCCTGTTACGGAGTGTGTATTTCCTCGCCCTGTGTATATATCTGGTATCTAAGTTAAAATAAAGCAGTCTTTTTCTGGTTTCCTTCAAGACTGGTGTGTCTCATCTTGTATGGCCAGCGGTGGTGTCTGTGGATCTGTGTTCGGACAGGGAAGCAGGAGTCCCTTGAAATACCCTAGTGCAGTCGGGGTCAGAAATTTAAATTCTCTTTCTAGTGTCTGCAACATGTCCCCTCCATCTCTAACCACAGGCTAACATGAATGGTTGCACATTGTGACCCTTTGCCTTTACAAAAAAGCCAAAAAACTCAGAGATCTCATGATAGTTAGACCGCCTGCATTCTGACTTGATCCTGAGGTTTATGGCCATAAAGGAAACCTGTAGTGAGAAAATATAGGAGGCTGCCATTGCTGAATACCAGAGCCAGCATTGCAGATCAGGAGGTTTGACTTTTCCTCTGACTTTGCTAGTTGCATGTTCGTGTGTTTGCCTCATTACTGTCAGAAAAGAGATATAGGACTCTTAAAACGCACATTAATCGCTTGATGTATAGTGTTTTCCCTAAGGCGGGAATCGAGTGATTTTCTTTCCTGCAGCCCATGGTTGCAGGTAAGAAAGTCGCATGATCTATGGCTTGCCTTAGGGATCAGTGGCAAAGAAGTACTGGGGCCATAGATATCCAGGCAAAGAGAATTTGCAGATCAAGAACAACAATTCCAGTGCTATCTTCATATTTTATTCCGTTCAGGTATATTTTGAGAGTTCAAGAAATAAGAGAAAGTACTGTAATATAGAATAGGAGTGATAGAGAGAGTGCTCCGTACCTGTCGCTGTCGCAGAACAATGCCCTCAAGCTCTTGTTCCTTCTTCATTAGTTCCCTCTGCAGAGTGGTTTGTCTGTCCTGTTGTCTGGTGGAATCCTGCATATAAGGACAATGTAATCAGTCAGATATCAAATATCATGACGACAATTCTTTTACAGAAGACAAAACCCTACGTAATGCTGGAAACATACCAGTACGATATTCCTTAGAACAGCTATATTTACTAATAACTGTAACCCACCTGATGGGATCTAAATTAAGTGGATTAGTTCAGTATCTGCACTGAATGGTTATTCATAAATTTGCCAGATAAAACCTAGGGATCTGATGTGTGACCAGGTTAATCCTCTTCCAGTCTTCACTTCTCTGGGATGTGCCAACCTCAAAATAGTTCAATACCTAGGAGTGGAGTTGGGGAAAATCCCATCAAAAGGAAGAAGAAGCTCGTCAGCGATCCAGAGAACTACTACAGAAGAATCGTGAGAAGTGCATTTCATGTAATGGGCAATGAAGTAGGCTGAGCTGGGACAGGCGTGCCTGAGAAGCTGGGTGTGGTGGAGATCTAAACACAATGTGGGTCTGTTGGGAATGTCTTTATATAGAATAGGTGTGTAGCCTTGAGGTGGGCTTACTTGTTCATATAAAAAGGATAGCAAGATTGACTTTTTAATCTGTGTTTTGTTTCTCCTGATCCTATGCTTACACCTTTTAGTAAGCTTCTTTGCAAAAAAAAAAAATAAAATAATATATATATATATATATATATATATATATATATATATATATCTTGTTTTTTTAAACTAAACTCAATGCAAACAGCTAATCACAGCTGAAATACATTATACATCAACCTGCCTAGGATTTGTTATGGGTTTGAACCAGTATTGTGATACAGAAGCCCCACTCGTAGTCTACAGGAGAGCTGCATGGCACCAGCAATCTGCTCATCACGGGTGCAATGCTTTACAGGCTCCACAAAAAAAAATAGTAAATGCACATTTTTTGTACCTGCAAAAATATAGGCATTTATCATCTTTTTTTCCAAAGTGAACCTATCCTTTATATAGTTTGTTTGGGCCACGCTGGCGCAAACTAACTATTTCCTTTACTGACGTTAAGGCCACTGTCAGTGCTGTATAAACTGAATGTAGTCTCAGCAAAATTAAGTTGATTACAAGACTCCGAATGGCTGAGGTGGAGATTGTGACATCATCCGCTGCCTCACCACCTCAGCCAATGAGAGGAAGCCTTGTATTTGCTGATTAAATGCAAGTTTTCCTGTGAATAGATAAGAACTCAATTTTATTCAGTCAGTAGAACACAGCACTTTATACTGTATGTAGCTGATACTGTTTATACTGTGCTGACAGCTGCCACGGCAATTAGTAGAGGCAGAGGAAGTCCATCACCTTAGGACACTAGCATAAAATTGAGGACTTACAGAGTGGGGAAGGGTTATAGGGAAACGCTCAGGGGGCATGTCTTCAAAAGCTTGCCAGTGTCCAATAAGCTGAAGGTATGAGCCTATAACCCCAAGTCTAGGAATATGCAGCCTGTGTCCTGCACAATTAAGATATAGTTAGCTTAGGCCAAAAACTATTTAGGGTAAAAAAAAAAAAAAGATGAAGCTAGGCTTTGATGAATAACATATACAAATTGTGTTTTCTCTCTGCATAAAGTTTCCATTTTTTTTTTATTTTATATGAAGGTCAGCTTAAAGCGGAGCTCCACCCAAATGGGGAACTTCTGCTTTAAAGACTGGTCCCCGCTCCCCATTAAGGATTGGCACCTTTGGGGTGCGGGTACCCAAAATTGACAGGTACCTGCTCCCACTTAGGCCTAGGCGATCGGAAGCAGAAGTTGTCCTCCTACCGTCCCTCCCCGTAGTCTTCTGGGACATGTGACAGGTCCGAGAAGACTACAGGACCATCCAGGAAGCGCAGTGCTAAGCACGCATGCGCAGTAGGCTCCTGGCTGTGAAGCCGCAAGCTGTCACAGCTGGGTGCCCACACTGAAGATGCCAGAACCTGGAACACCAGACGGCTGGTGAAACATGCTGCGGGGAGGACACTGCGGGATCGTGGGACATGTGACAGGTCCCAGAAGACTACAGGACCATCCAGGAAGCGCAGTGCTACTCACGCATGCGCAGTGGGCACCTGGCTGTGAAGCCGCAAGCTGTCACAGCTGGGTGCCCACACTAAAGATGCCAGCACCTGGAACACCAGACGGCTGGTGAAACATGCTGCGGGGAGGACACCGCGGGATCGTGGGACAGGTAAGTGGCTGTTTTTTTTCAAAGTCAGCAGCTACAGTTTTTGCAGCTGCTGACTTATTTTTTTACAGTGTGAGTGGAACTCCAATTTAACCTTAGTCAAGGTTTCATCACCTAGGTGCAAACTTTAACTTGCTGTGGGGGTTAATAGGTAGTCTCCCTCTGCAGAAAACTCGGGTATGTCTACATGTTAAGCTGCCAATTTTACCCTCTCCAAGTCACTTCTTTTACTACCTTGTCTGTGATGTTACCAGAACCAATAAAACTAGACAAAAAAGTCATAATATTTCTTATCTTTATTAGTTTGTAGATACTCAAAAAGACCCAAATAATCAAAAGCACTGGGCACTTTAATGGCTTATCCTTCATTTCTTGGAGTGGCTTATATTTTTCAACCAGGGTGCCAATGCACCCTGGGGTGCCTTCAGGCTTCTTCAGGGATGCCTTGGCAAATTCCCAAAAATTGTATACAAACTAGCAGGTAGATCAATCCTGCGTTTTCGTACACAAAGCCACAGGTGTTCACTGTGCACTTTGACCTTTTAGCTGCCAGCATCCTGACAAACAATGACATCATCCGTTGATAAGGAGGCTGGGTACATGCACATCATCCTAGTTTGCCCCTCCCTTGCCCCTCTCCATCAGCACTGAGATCACATTAGCAGAGTGAGGGAGAGAAACAGAGAGACACACTGGAATACTAGTCAGTACCAGTGTGCAAAGGTGTATTTGTTTAGGAAGAATAAAATCACATCACATGTTGGGTGTACTGGATGTGTGTAAAACTGTTTTTTACATTTTAGAATGGGGTGCCTTGAGATTCTTTGAAATTATCGATAGGTTTAAAGGGTTCCTTGAGATTATCCATAATTTTAAAGGGTTTCTTGAGATTATCCATAATTTTAAAGGTTTCATTGAGATTATCCATAATTTTAAAGGTTTCCTTGAGATTATTCATAATTGCAAAGGTTTCCTTGAGATTATTCATAATTTTAAAGGGTGCAGTGACTGAAAAAAAGTTGAGAAACACTGCCATACATTGTAGTTTTTAAGCCCTGATACAACAGTTTTGTCTGTGTAGCCCATTTGGCTACTACTGATTTTTTTCTCATTTTAATTAGTTTGTAGATACTCAATAGGGGCGCAGATGATCAAAAGCACTGGAGCCCTTATTTGGCTTATCCTGCATTTCTTGGAGTGGTTTACATAGGCCTGTAGTTTTCAAGCCCATATACAACAGTTCTGCCTATGTATCCCATATGCCTACCAATGATTTTTCTGTATCATACCTTCCTGAGTAGTTTCTCTCGCTCTATTCTAATCTGCTGCTCCATCTCTTCATATAGGCTTCTCACCTCTCGTCCGTGATCGGTCTCTTTTCTGTATCACAAATAAATTGCAAGAAAAAAAACATTTACTACTGACTGAAGGTTGTTAAGCAACGACAAAAAAAAAAAAAATAATTGCTCCACAAAAAGTAAAGTGCACATCAAGCCATCAACAGTAATACCGAGTTGTTATAGATTAAATCTAGTTGTTATAGAGAAGGGCCAGTGTCAACAGATTTTATTTTAGCATCAGACTATGGAAATGCAAAGCCTGCTTAAACAGGTCAGCTGTCAAAGGGTCAACTTCAGGTAAAAATTCTTCTGTTGAATTCTGAATGATCTCAAAAGCATCTCAGACTGATGTCAAACTGTAATGTAAATGATGGGTCTGATGAATTAACATGTTCTTACCAGTAACCAGATTTGAGCTTAGAGGGAAAAATTTTAAATTGACTGATGTGTTTTGGCATTTGATAGTTGATTGAATAGAGGGCAATGATAAGTCCTCAGAGGGGGTGGGTGGACCTATATATAATGTGTGCTAACTAAACCCCTGTTTTTAAACGCATGTTCTTAGACAGGTTAATTTGGTTTTTGATAGTTGGCTAACTGGCTGGCAGTTTGAACTGGCTTTCTTATCCCCCTCCTTTGATAAGTTATACTTATCCATGTTCCTTGCCGACAATAGCCATTATTAGACTGGGGTAGGCTGGCAAGTTGAGCTGGATAGTTCTATTTTTTACTCTGTGACGCCTTCTATGTTCACTGTTTAAAAGGCCAGTTATAGACCTGGGTAGGTGACCAGTTTTTTCTTTGTATGTTAATTTTGGAGGTTCAGTGGGTGCATTGGACACCCTGGCTGCCGTTGTGCTACATGCTGGGTGTCAGGTGCGCTCCCATGACTTTAATGAGGGGTGGGCTCCCTCAGGTTCACCTGGCCTTGTTTCTATCCATTTAAATGCATGTGCCTCCATTGTGAGGACTCTCAAGATTTATAGAGTTAGGACCACAGATACTCAGGGTGCCGTGATGTTGGTCTGTGGCTTACGTATGTATTTGCAAATGTGTGCTAACTAAACCTCTGTTTTTAAACGCATGTTCTTAGACAGGTTAATTTGGTTTTTGATAGTTGGCTAACTGGCTGGCAGTTTGAACTGGCTTTCTTATCCCCCTCCTTTGATAAGTTATACTTATCCATGTTCCTTGCCGACAATAGCCATTATTAGACTGGGGTAGGCTGGCAAGTTGAGCTGGATAGTTCTATTTTTTACTCTGTGATGCCTTCCATGTTTACGGTTTAAAAAGCCAGTTATAGACCTGGGTAGGCGACCAGTTTTTTCTTTGGACCTATATATAGAGCCTGAGCCTAGAGAGTCAAGTGTCTCCCCTCCTGCAAATGTCCCACCAGGAAGAGAGGTAGCATGCAGGTTTCCACAACAGCAGTTGGCACATGAACTACACTTCACTTTTCCCCTATAAGGGGTAAATGTCCTCCCAAATATTGGTACCTATGTTAAAGGCTATGGGATAGTTAACTGCAGTTCTTCATAAGAACAGGTTCTTTACACATCACAGACAACTATTTTATAATATAATAACATAATAACAATGTTCCTAAGCAATTACTAACCAGTTAAGTTAGCACAGACCTAAGTCATATAAATGGGCAGGGCTGACTCATGAGTTACAAAATTATTCCTGCATTGTATGTTGGTTTATAAACTGTTTATAAGCTACTTTTTCTTTATTCAGTGCTTCAGAACTGTGCAAGTGTGGTCAGTACTGCTCAATATCATGTTAAATCTATGCTGGCCAGAAATCTGAGCAAAAAAACATTCCAATGAACAGCTTTCCTTGCTACTCCTAATGTGTCAAGGATACAATAATGGGCATAAACTCCTCTTGGATCCCACTGACCCTTAGTGCTGCCAAAGTGGGATAGGTATTGGCAACAAATAATTCTGGATGTTGGGTTTCATAGTTCAGCTTCTAGTTTTAGAAACCAGAACAAAATGTTAACTGCCTGCAAAAAAAAAAAACAAAACTAATGAGTACCTTTAGAAAATGTTGAAACCTTTTGTTTGCCTGGACTTCTTTAAAGGATAATTAAACCCAAGAATGAAATGTAATAAGATGAAGCTTACAGTTCTTAGATGTGGTGTCTGCATCAGATTCGTCTTTTCCCCAAGCTAAGAACCTTTTTTAGCAAATACAGAAAATACCTGCCAGAAATGCAGTGTCCTTGTCATTCCCTGTGAGCTACACCAAAGATTATCTTCCTTACTAGCTATCTTTTGCAAACTACCAATTGATCTGCCCTCCATGTAAGAAAGATGAAGAGATACAGACATGTTTTTAGTTCATATCAGGAGAGTAGCTTGAGTGACAACCATGGCTCCCTCCATAAAAAAAATGGATGAGTGACGTAGCCATCCAGGGACAAGAAGTGTTCTCTTATTAGGATTACCAGGTAAATGAAGCAAAAGAAGCTTGAAAAAAAAAAAAACTGCAGCCACCTCACAAAGCACTAGTAATCTTCAAGAGAATACATTTTTTGTTTTGGGTATAGATACATTTTAAATGACATTCACTAAATCCAGTAAAATATTTCTTAGAGTTCAGAATGACAATTACCGGTAAGTTTCTGAAGCTTCTCTAATATTGAGTATAATAAATTCCAAAATTACTGGCTTTTAATCTGCAAACTAATCAAACATCTGATCCTTCAAATCTCAGTTTTAAAAAATTACAGGCCCAATTCATGTCACTATTCATAATCATAATAATAATCATAGTAATATCTATTAAACAAGACTTGTAGTTTTGGCACTAACCGCTATATACTGCACAAATTAAGGAGACGCGGTTAAGCTGAAGCAGCTCACCTTTTTAAAGCTTGTTCCAAAGTCTCCTTTTCATGATACACGTCCCGGATATGAGAGGAAACACGGAAGAGAAAATCCTCAAAGTTTGCTAGCAGCTCTGGGCGCTCCTTGCGTAAACGGTTCCACAGTTCTCTGAGCTCCCTGTGTCTTGTGGAAGAATAAAAGCATATTTTGTTTTTCTAGATAAGGTGGGTTCTGTGTTTATCGTGTGGAAATGAAATAATATGGGTGCTACCAGCCTAAGGACAATTAGGAGGAAAGCAGAGTTGATGTAGCCAAAAATAACTTGGCACATACACAAGTATGAGTTAGCTACATACCCAGCTCCTGTTGAAAATTCTCAATAACACTGTATGCGTTTATAACAAAGTGTATATTATATATACAGTGCTCAGCCTAAATGAGTACACCCCTTTCAAAAAGTATGATTTTAATTAATATCTTAATGAACACTTTCCAAAATTTTGACAAACCCAAGTTTTATATGATTACATGAAAGTAAGGTTAATAATATAACTCCGATTACAAAATCTTCGATTTTACTCAAATTAGTTGATGAAAAAATTAATACGCTCTACAACAAAAACTATTACATCTAGTAATTTGTATGACCCCCATGATTTGTAAGGACAGCACCAAGTCTTCTAGGCATGGAATGAACAAGTTGGCGACATATTGCAACATCTATCTTTTTCCATTCTTCAAGAACGACCTCTTTTAGAGCCTGGATGCTGGATGGAGAGTGATGCTCAATTTGTGTCTTCAGAATTACCCATAGGCATTTGATTGGGTTCAGAATAGGAGACATACTTGGCCACTGAATCACTTTCCCCCCATTCTTCTTCAGAAATGCAACAATGCAACACCTTAGATGTGACCTTAGATGTGTGTTTTGGATCATTGTCATGTTGGAAAAGTGCACGAAGACCAAGGGGACGGAGTGATGGTAGCATCTTCTCTTTCAATATAGAACAGTACATCTGTGAATTCATGATACCATCAATGAAATGCAGCTCCCCAACACCAGCAGCACTCATGCAGCCCCACAGAAGGACATTGCCACCACCATGTTTCACTGTAGGCACCATGCATTTTTCTTTGTACTCTTCACCTTTGCGACGCTATACAGTGTTAAAGACATCAGTTCCAAAAACATGTATCTTGGTCTCATCACTCCAGAGTACAGAGTCCCAGTAGTCTTCTTTTTCACAATGGGCCCCGGCAAAATTCTAGGCGGGCTTTTTTGTGCATTGGCTTTAGGAGAGGTTTCCTTCGTGGACACCCATGCATGCCATTCCTCTGCAATGTACTGTATGCCGTATTGTGTCACGGGAAACAATCACCCCAGTTTGGCTTTCTACTTCTTTAGCAAATTGCTGTGAACTTGCATGGCAATTTTCTTCCATCCTTCTCATCAGAAGACTCTCCTGTTGAGGTGTTAACTTCCGTGGGTGGCCTGGACATCTCGGAGATGGTTTCAGTTCCATCTTTATTAAATTTTTGTATCACTGACTGATAAGTAAAGCTTTGCTGATCTTCTTATAGCCTTCCTCAGGCCTTGTGACATTTTTCTTCCATGTGGTGCCATTGCCGACAGCATGAAATGGGATGGGTTTTTCTTTGTTAAGCAACACCCTTTAATAATCAACTGTCTGCTGGACACCTGTTTAATGAATAATTAGACTCACCTGTAGTTGAATTCTTGTTATCTAAGATTTTGTTGTTTAAAATTTAGCTTTGCTCCTAAGATTTTCATTTGGATGTATTCATTTTTGCAACATGGTCTTGCATGAATTTGCTAGGAAAAAATAAATACTTTGTGTTTGCAAATTAACAAATCTTGTTTGCAATCAATAGCCGCATTTGTGGGAGTATTTTGTAGTATAGTGTCCCATAGAGAATGTTGATTCTGAAAGGAAAGTAAAGGTTTTCTGACAAATCTGTTGGGGTGTACTCATTTATGCTGAGCCCTCCTAACGAGTGCCAAGGATCCACTCTGGTGGTGATCCCAGATTAGTTGAAGGGGCCTTGGTACCCTCTTCCACTCCTAACGAATGCCAAGGATCCACTCCCTCTGCAGGTAAGATCAGATTCTCCATAGTCACATTTATCCAACACCTGACAGGCTCAAGCTCACAGCTTGAGTCTTGGGAGGCAGAGGGTAATAGATCTCAGGGGCTCTGTAAAGGTTGTGAATACGCTTATGAAAGCAAAGAACAGAACAAACAGTGCCTATAGTAGAATATGACATAAATTCACAGGATTACTGCTGATCAAGGTTTTACACTGGGCTCTTCAAGTCTGTCACAGTCTGAAGATTCTGTAGGCAGGGCTTGATTTAGGTTTATGCTTAAATACGCTATGTGACCACATTTCAGCTATCTCTATCTTCTCCGGCATACAGTGGGCATCCAACATTCAATTATACTGTCCTTCAAATTGCAACTTGGTTGAAACCTACCTAAGGGATTGTTTGTGAAGTGGATCTCCCATTGGTGTTGGACTTGCTTGCATCAGATAACTTCAAATCAAAGTGGCCCCTTGCGGTACCTCTCGCTGAACACTGCTTTCCTGGTGGCAATTACATCAACCAGAAGAGTGTCCGTATTAGCGGCCCTGGGGTTTAAAGAACCCCGTCTTACGTTCATCCCGGATAGGGTGGAACTCATGCTGTTGCTCCAGATCGTGCCCAAGTGGTCTTCATAGTCCATATCACACGGAAAGTTGCCCTTCTTACATCCCTTTTTGGGAGGTCCCAAGAAGTTATCCCAACAGATGTGGGTAAAGCTTTAAAATTTAACATCAAGGCAACATCTGGCATCAGAAAGTCGGAGAATTTGCTTCTCATTCCAGGCGGAGCGTGTAATGATTTTATGGCTTCCAACAAGATTATTGCCTCCTGGTTGGTGAAGCTCATCTCCTTGGCCTAAAAGTTGAAAGGGTTTGGCTGTGCCAGGGGGGATCACTTCTGTCCACCCAAAGGGTCTACACTTTGCGAGTGGAAGCAGGCTGAGTGTGCCCAGACACTATTTGCAAGGCAGCTACATGGGGGTCAATATAAACGTTCATGGCTCATTACTGTATAGAAGCAGTCTTAATGACAGTTGAGTTTGGCAGAGGCATCCTGGCTTCTGCTTTAGGGAGAATTGAGGAGTGTGTAGCATTATCCCTCCCCTGTGTGGCTAGTTAGTTCCCAGCTGTGCTGACATGGACCTGTCAGGAAAAACAGAAAATTGAATAACAGATACTTACAGTAATTTTTCTTTCCTGACGGGTTCCATGTCAGCACAATTCTCTCCCAGCTTGGTAGGACTAGTTACAGAACACTGAGGCTGCAGGTGCGCTCAAACATATGACTTATGTCCTAGAAGCATGGGTGGACAGGGCCCTTAACCAGCTGTACTGACATGGAGCCCATCGGGAAAGGAAAATTACGGTAAGTATCTGTCAGTTTTCTGTTTTTTCTATGTTTCTATGTACAGTATATAAGTAAATAGTTAAAACATACACAGTTATACAGATACAATCAGTCCTAATGTCATTAAAAAGAGGTATGGTTAAGAAAGTGGAAAAAAAAATCAGTTATAAAAGGCACCTGCCTGTCTGTAAATTCTTTTATGTCTGTCTAGTTTTGAATAGCATATCTCCATATAGCTATTCTATATCTCTTTTGGACATATCCATGATCATGGTATGTACAGTTGTGTTCAAAATAATAGCAGTCAGACATCACTAACCTGATCAATCACTGTTTTTGGGTAGAAATTATATTTCTACATGGCAAATCATTTACTAGCAGGTGTAGTAGAGTATTAGAAATCCAACAGACCCAACAGTCATGACATGCATGCTGCTGATTCTGTGTAATTGAGTGTGGAGTTCTATTAGTGAGGTCATTCATTCTTTGAAAAACAGGTGGCAATTATTGCCCTTATTTAAGGAAGGAAGGCAGCAAACGTTGTTCAAGCTGGTTACAGTGCATTTCTCTCTGAAATTCTGAGGAAAATGGGTCATTCTGGACATTGTTCAGAAGAACAGCGTACCTTGATTAAAAAGTTGATTGTAGAGGGGAAAACATATAAAGAAGTCAGAAAATTATAGGCTGCTCAGCTAAAATAATCGCAAATGCTTTAAAATGGCAACCAAAACCTGAAAGATGTGGAAGAAAGCAAAAAACTACCATTCGAATAGCCAAAATGGCAAGGACTCAGCCAACAATCAGCTCCAGGAAGATCAAAGAAGGTCTAAAGTTACCTGTGAGTACTGTTACAATTAGAGGACACCTATGTGAAGCAAAGCTATCTGCAAGAAGCCCCCGCAAAGTCCCACTGCTGAAAAAAAGACGGGCTGAAGAGCTTACAATTTGCCAAAGAGCACATTGACTAGCCTAAAGAGAAATGGCGCAACATTTTGTGGACTGATGAAAGTAAGATTGTTCTTTTTGGGTCTAGTGGCCGGAGACAATTTGTCAGACGACCCCAAACACTGAATTCAAGCCACAGTACATTGTGAAGACAGTGAAGCATGGTTGCGCAAGCATCATGATATGGGGATGTTTCTCATACCACGGTGTTGGGCCTATTTATCGCATACCAGGGATCATGGATCAGTTTGAATACATCAGAATACTTGAAGAGGTCATGCTGCCTTATGCTGAAGAGGAAATGCCCTTGAAATGGGTGTTCCAACAAGACAACGACCCCAAACACACCAGTAAACGTGCAACATCTTGGTTCCAGACCAACAAGATTGACGTTATGGAGTGGCCAGCCCAATCCCCGGATCTTAATCAAATAGAAAACTTGTGGGGTGACATCAAAAATGCAGTTTGAGGCAAAACCAAGAAATAGAGAAGAACTGTGGAATGTAGTCCAATCATCCTGGGCTGGAATACCTGTTCACAGGTGCCAGAAGTTGGTTGACTCCATGTAACACAGATGTATAGCAGTTCTCAGAAACAGTGCTTATACAACTAAATATTAATTGATTCAAAAGGAAAGCAAAATCTTCAAACATTTTTCAGTTTATATAGTGAATGTTTGAGTTTGTAAAGAAGAATACAAACACTGCTATTTTTTTAACAGTCTAATATTCACTTTTCTTCAATTTTTTTAGAGGAACAACAAAAATTTGTGTTCATGTTTTGATTTGGAATAGACTGTGTAGTGTTCCCAATGCATTTGTGTGTATGGAAATAAAAGCTATTAGAAGGATTTTGAGCTTTATTCACTTTTTTCAACACACTGCTATTATTTTGAACACAACTGTATATGTTTAAAGTCTGCGTGTTATATAGACATATTTCACCCTCTCTTCATACTTGATATGTCACACTGTTGGTCTTATCTATGGGTTCCAGCTAACTCCTAAAGAAAAAGAGTCAATCTCTAGCTTCTCTCTGCTTTAAAATCATTGCAGGCATCCCCACTGGTTTGTACTTTCATGTCACGGATCATGGTCCAGCAAAAACTGCAATGCTATTTTATTATAATATCATACATGTGTAAATACATGAACAATGTGCAGAGACCCAGAGATATCCCAATACAACTCCAAAGCAGACAGTAGCTGATGATGGAAGCCACAATACCTGCTGCCTGTTATATTTCAATAGCTGTGACATTAGAACCTGGTGCTGTTTTTTTTTCCATTTGAAGTCAACAGGTAGATATATTGTACGCATGGAAACAGTCTTTTTTTCCTTTATTATATAGAAAAAGGAACAGTCTGTGCTCACGTACAGATTTTTTTCAAAAAGGCTATCTGATTTTTGTATAATGGCAAGAACTTTAGATGGCTGGAAGCACAGATGAATGTTTAATACATGACCAAAAATCCAGAGCATGGGCATTGCTAATGAGAGCAGAGAAATTGTTTCCATTCAGGGATCCCAGTTAGGCATGGGTCAGTGTTCTGACCTGCTGGTTGCCTGTTTAAGGATAAAATATTAATATAAAATATTTATGATCATTTCCACAACTTAAAATAAAATTATTATCCTCAGAATTAAAAATATAACATTTTAAGAAAATATGTACAAAACACTATATATTCTTTTTAACTAGCAAGACTTCACCACCTGCAATCTATACAGCGATGAAACAAATTGCTTTTCAGATACAAAAGTAAAATAGATTCAGAGTCTTACTCTTGGAATATTCGAGCAGCTCCCAATTGTTCCATAGCAGCATAGAAGAGCATTTCTTCTGCATCATCCTGATCTTCATCCGACCAGCCAGATTCAAACGTTTCCTCCATTACCGGCTTCTCTTCCTCCTCTCCATTAGTCATATTAACCCCTAGTAATTTACCTGAAGATAGCAGGCGATAGAAAAATACATTTGCATGGTCGCAAAGACTCAGATAAATTGGGTTCTAAATAGGTCTACATAGTATTGGTAGGGAGGCAACTTGCTTGTGGTAAAAACATTCTTACTCTGCAGCTGAAAATAGATAATGATAGTAGCAAACTACAGGAAATGTGATGTTTACAGCACTGAGTCAGGGATCGCACAGCCCAAAGGAAATACCCAGCAGCATTTTACTTTAGACTTTTTATAAAGAAAAACAGAAGGAAGTGTTTTTACAGATTTGGATAGATACTATGGAAAGTAGGAGCCAAGTAGCGTTAAATCTAGTGGAATCTTTGAAATCTGAAACTTGTAAAAATAGAAATAAATGTTCATGCTGTCTGGGAAAAGAGCTCTTTAAATTGCAATAAATGTTTAACAAATCAGTAAGCTGTGGTATGGCCTTACTGTAAGTCACATTTAAATGGTGCAGTTAAAATGCAAAGTAATGTGCTTTCACAATAGATCTAGAAGCTGTATCAAAGTTTGATTAAAAAAAGTAAAGTAACAGTGTGGGCCTTTTTTAAACAGATCAGATGCCAACAGCTCTGTTGTCGTCTGCAGCTGCTGCCAACATACAAACCGTTGGAAATGTACCAAGCTATTTGTGCACCATATGCATGGGAAAATACAAACCTCTGCACCAGAGAGCTCAGTGAGAGCCACACCACAATGAAACAATTCAGCAGCAAAAGGCCCACACTCATCATTCCTCACTTTACACATCCTCACCCCTACAACATTCTCCTGCTGCATCTGCCATAACATCTGTGGACTCTAGTCAATGAGGGGAGATGGTCATAGGCCACATTGTGGAAGGTCAAACAAAGGCTTGAATCTTTGCAGAACACTCTTACACCTACCTCCTTCCCAATGCAGATTTCTCTTCCGGAGCTGCTTGAGTAGAGGAAACAAATGTCCCTTAAATCGCCCCATGCCTGGAGTCCTAATGCCAGCTTGTTAAAACTACTGTCTTGCAACAGCTCTCAATTACAAATCAGCCCCCTTCCATGAGTTTACAGCCTGTGCTAGACCATGGTAGCAAGTACCCAGCTAACTTATTTTGCCAAGAAGCTCGTCCCTGCCCTCTACTACAATTAGGGACATACTTTGTTTATTGCTGGACCACACGGTCATCAGCAGTGTACATGCTGGCATGGACACATAATCCAGTAGGCATGGGCAGGGATGCTACATAGCATTTATGCACACGGATTTAATCCTCTGGTTGCTGGGAAGGACTGAGCACACTGCTGGAACTGGTGGTAATACCGTGTGTTGTGTGCTGGTGACAGCACAGTCACCTGTCCACCCTCCTTCTCACTGACCCCATCCTCTAACTCCTTGGAACCATCAGTCCCCCCCCCCCAAGTGCATCATAGCACACGCAACATTCCAGGTTAAATGCTAACATGCTGTGTTGCAGCTTGCATGCCAGCGGGAGAGGAGCCACAATGGGCCAGGGCTTACAGGTAGCTTATTCCATGCCATCTTCAGCTACGCAAAGTTGTGTGGGACAACAGCATTAATCCGCTGCCCACCCTTTTCCTGGGAAAAAAAAAAAAAAAAAATCACACTGTACCTTGCCCACTTGTGATATAGGAGTGCTGAACGTTATGAAGATGCATTATAATGCAATGGGTGGTTTGTGGTCCTAGAAGCTGCTCACCAGCAACTGTGGGGTCTAATTGGTTCCTCAGAGGAGTTTACTAAAGTCTTGAAAAGATGTAAGTGCCACACCAGCTCGTATAGTCCTTAAAAATATTATATTTTGCAACAGTTAATGTGTTTGGAGGGCTCAGCACTCCCCGTTCGTCAATGCTAAAAACTAGAAAATATACAAAAATTTCTTAAAACATGTTATAAGATTGTATTTATATATAACATGTTGGCTGTTGCAAAATAAAAAAAGGACTATACAAGCTGGTGTTGCACTCCCATCTTTTCAAGATATACCTTCCTTGCACAGGACCTTAATCTCATGGTGCAACAGGTTATCAAAGTATCCTGGCTTCCAGGAGGTCCTTCCCCAGACCAGCGTTTATGGCCACTTAGGCTGTCATATCGGGACATGGCTCACCTGGCAGAAAAGCAGCAACAACATCAGATGCAGGCCAACTGCCTTGAACTCAACAATGGCCATGCTGCAGCAGAATGCCATCAATAAGTACCTGTGTGCTTATGGTACCAGAACCAGCTATAAAGGGCTTAGATTTGTTTCACCATGTCAATAGCCATCATTCAGTATGTCTGGCATTTTGGCTCCATTAGACTACCAAAATGGTAAACCACAACAGAGAGGAAATTAGTGATATAATGCCTCTTGTGTTCCTCCTGTAGCACACACATGTTGGCCTGATAGACCATACACTGGAGGCACAGCAGGAGGATGACAAGGAGGACAACTTGTTGCGGTCTCATGAACAGCGGGAATCTTTGTCTACTGCCTATGAAGCAGCAGGAGGCTGAGGAGAACTATGAGACAAAGGGTCAGGGGTGCTGGTGGTGACAAGGGGGAGGAAGTGGGGCAGGCTTTAAATGGGAGATTTTAAAACCTGCAAATAAAAGTGGCCATCTGCCCAAGTCTATAACTGGCTTATGAAGCAAGGACACATAAACAGGCATCACATAGTGAATAAAGGGGAGAGAACAATGTTCTTGGACAACTTGCCAGCCAGCTTGCTAACAACCGAATTAACCTGTCTAACAGTATGCGTTTATAACAGGGGTTTAGTTTTTAAAACCTCCCAATCCCTACGTGTTGTACGTGGGTGAGATTATTGAGGACAGTGTTGTCCTCAGCAAAACCAAGGACTCAAGGTCTTCTGCTAAAGGCAGTTCATCACAAGTGGGATATTTTGTGCTCAAGTGCCTGTGTAAGACATTTGAGGCATTTTTTAGTCATCAAAGAGTGGAACCACTATTGGATAGCCATCCTATTAGATCCCTGATACATCTGTAAAATAGCCATTCTACTGCCACCATCCCAGAGGCTAAAATGCGGTACTTTTGTGTAAGACGGATCCCCTTTGAGGACCAATGTGTCTCCAATCCTCTGATCCCTGGAAAAGAGAAGCAGCAGTGGTGGTAGCTGCCTCAGTGTTGCTTTTCAGAGTTGTTTTTAAAATGACAGCAGTCAGGCCCACCTGCTTCCTGCACTTAGCCTAGTCTCATGGCTGCTGCTCTATTTTTAATGGTGTTTATTTGACACACTTAGACTGCACTTCTCTTAACATGTGCTACCATAATTAAATGCTTTTTAAAGCATATTACTTTAGTGAGTTCTAATCCTGTCTAAACAATTATATTATACAGTACAGACCAAATATTCCCTATATAATAAGTACTTTTGAAACATTCTGTCAGGGATCCCTCCTTCGTGCAGCAGTGTGACGGCACCAGATCCCTTCTGGCCAAGGCAGTGCGAGTGCGCGGGAGCGTTCGGGCGCGCATGCAAGGCAGCGTGCAAGTGCGCGCATGCGCAGTAGCGTACACGTCACCGTAAGGCGGGCTATTTAAACCTCCAATACAGTTCAGTCAATACCTTCTAGTCTATAATGTTCTGCACTCCATAACCTGATTCTGTTGCCTGTATCTGATCTGACTATGAAAGAACTTCACCGATCCCGGCTTATCCCTGACTATCCGCTTGCCTGCTCCCTTGTACTTGATTTGCTCGTTTGATCCTGACTCGGCTTGTCTGACTTTGCTGCACCTACTTACCTGTATCTGCACCTGGCCTGTATCCTGATTGCTGCCACACTTACCTGCTTCTGCACCCATGGTCCTGCACCTGGCCTGCATCCTGGTTACTGACAAACCTGCCTGCTGCCGCATCCACGCTCCTGTGTCCGTTGCCGGTCTGCATCCTGATTGCCGCCATACCTGCCTGCTGCTGCACCCACATTCTTGCATCCGCACCTGGCCTGCATCCGGATCTCCTGGGTCTTCACCTGTCTGCTACCAGCTCCAGACCCACCCGGCACTCGTGCCACTCCTGGCTCTGCACCCTCTATTCCCACTATTAGGGGCTCTGAGCGGAAGTAGTAAGAGTACGCCTCCTCTCCACATCAGCCTCCCCATCCAGGTACGTGACAGATTCCAACTGCTCTGACTTTCAGTGTGAACAAATAATCTCACTATAGTAAAGTGTACACTAAGTCTGATTAATTACTTTGGGTTACAGCACTCTGCAATGGTGTATGTTTATATTTACCACGTTCATTGCAAACTGCCTCCCAAAAAATATAAATGAGGTCCCTTTCACATGAGGAGGTTCCGTTTTGCTCAGCGGGGAATCGATTTGATGATTCCCCAGTGAGCAGAGCAGAGCGGGCAGATGACAAGTCCATGTCCGCTACACTTATGCAGAGCAGACACAGGCACAGCCTGACCTGCTTTATGGGTGGTTGGATGTAAATGGGACCAACTATCCATTTACATCCGAATGCCCTCTGATTTCATGCACTAGACGGAAGGGAATGGATCCCCTTCCATTTTTTTTTGTTAGTGGACGGAGTTGGATTGGATCTAGGCAGGTGTAAACAGACATAAGTCCCTTTACTTCTGCCACTCCATGTAGGAGAATGGAGGGTCTGATCAGTTCTTCCTGAAAAATGGACAGGTGGTCCTGATCGGACCGCTAGTGTGAAAGGGGCCTTAATAGAAAGCTGCTTAGTGACTTACTTCCAAAAGGAGGCTTTTTCTTGTACATCATCCTAATATATAAGGTCGTTCACAGATGGCCCATTATTATAATCAATGCTTCCGATCTTGAGCCATTCTTGCAGTGAATTGGGGCGTTTCTCAACCTCTAGGAGGTGAAAATGGGCTCATCTGACAATTGGAGGTGCTCATTGTTGCAAAGGAACTCCTGCTAGTGGGCCTGATCCTCTCTTCTGCTACGATGTAGAGGGAAGTATCAAAGTAATGCGGGCTTGTTGCTTACACCTTTATGCAAGCTTTGTGTGGGTTCCAGCACCCAGGAATGTACAGATCTCTCTCTACCCATCTCTTTTGGGAAGACATCTACTCAACAATTGCCAGACCTAAGCTGGCCATAGATGGAGAGATTTTCCTGCAACGACGGGTTGCAGGAAAGACTTTTACTCCCACTAAACCATTGTGTTCTCCTGGGGGGGCAGGGGGGTGGGGGCTGTCCCCACCAGGAGAACACAGCAATTACTGCTAGCACCCACGTTGGGTACATTCATCCTGCCCTTACATGGTTCCAATCTAGGCCGGTCCCTGCTGAACTGGCTGAGATTCGAACCGTCTATGGCCAGCTTAAGGCTACTTTGGATAACACAACAGACCAAAAAAAAAAAAAAAAAAAAAACATCTTATACAAAAAGCAAGTAACACTTAGGATGAAATGTAACATTACCAAGACCCATGCTGAACTCCACAGGAGTAAGGTAACCATTATTACTCTGGTCCAGGCTGTCAAATACAGCTTCCAATTGATCTGAAGTGAGTGGAAGTTCATTTTGCAGTCGCTGTGAGAAAAAAAAAAGTAAGTGAAGGCTTTTGAGGACACTATAGGGGTCGTTTATATAAAATCAATTTATGAGAATATCTGGGTTATATAGTTAGTGTACAGATATGTTGGATATATATATTTTGACAGAGTCCTTAAAGCAGTAACAGCAAAAGTTTATTATACTGCAGCTTAGCAATTCTTAGATGTGATGACTGTATTTTCTTTTTAAGGTTTTCTTTCCTTTATTTTTATCTGGTGATCTGGCAAGCAAGTTTGTTGTTTTTCAAAAGAACATGCACTCTTGTAGATTGTATTAGTTACTGGGATGAAACAAACAGTTTACCACAGACAAGGAAGCTTACAATGATCTGCTTTTATTTATTCATGTAAAATCGTTATCCCCAAAAAAAAAAAAATTGTGCTGTAAATGCCTATAAAGTGTTAGCTGGAGTTTTTTTTGTTAGTTTATCTAAATCTCCTAGTACATCTAACATTTCCCCTGTCCAAATGTGCTCCTTCATCCAGAATAGGGGGCACTCCAATGCACAAGGAGGGAAAAAGCTAACTAATGCAGTCACCACATCTGATTGGTAAGCTGCAATATATTACATTTTTGGTTTTGGGTTTAATACAGCTCAAAATGAAAATTTAAAGTTCACAAGTAGATTCAACGTCCAATTTAAATTAGCTGGATTACTTTTCAGCTAATGCAAAGATGGTGGACATATTGTACAAGGTAGCATCATATACAGACTCAAGAGAACAATATTTTAGCCTATAGACAAAAATGCAACAGCAAGGAAGAGCCAAACTATAGATCACTCAATGATAAGCAAACTTTTGATTTTTGATGACTAAGCTTATTCTCCACTGAGCCTTATCAAATTGTTGAAAAAGCAAATTGTGTACACACAATGAAACATTGTATCACCTGATTTTGTTCAATAGTGTACACACAATGAAACATTGTATCACCTGATTTTGTTCAATTGTGTACAAACAATGAAACATTGTATCACCTGATTTTTTGTTTGTAGGCCATAGTTTCAAAAGTCGTCTGCAATAAATTTAAAGGATCATCTTTTGGGTTAGCACATATTTTAAGTGACTGAATTACCTGTAGATCTCGTTTGGTTATTAACCCTTTCTCTTCTTTATCACAGAGCTGGAAGAGTTCCTTGGCTTTTCCCATCATTTCTTCAGGTTCTCTGACCAAAGGAGATGCTGAGGATATCACTGGTGCTTTATACCCTTTCCTTCCTCTAAGACAGGGGGAACACCTTGGTGGGGTGCCCCCGATGTTCCATGTCTGCAGGGTTGGGGGAAGGGGGTTGGCGGACTCCTGTAACAAAAATAAATACTTATGACAGTGCAAAATAATTTTAAAGGTTAAACTAAAGGCAAAACTTTTTTTTTTTGTTTTAGATAGAGTGGGAAGGGATTAGAACACCTGTCAGGTTTTATTGCTTTAAGTGCCACCATTAAGAAGATTCACCCTATGAGCCTATGTGCCCTGCTTATCACTATCACTAAAAGTAAGTGTGCAGAGGCCAGCATCTTCAAGCGCCTCAGGAGAGGGGGAGCCAGGAGATATTGACACAGGTCAACCAGCTTCCAGTGCCCCTTTGGATCCCTGGAAAAAGGGATAGGAGATTGGGAGCCAGTTGAGGAAACTGACTGGGTCTATGAGATTGCAGAAAAAGAGTGCTCTCAGTGTTTAGACTTGCTTAACGAGGAGAAGGAAAAATATAACATCCTTATACAGTGCGTAAGGAACCTCGGTTTTGTGAGGCCTATGCGAATAGGAGGCCTGATTTGTCCCCTCCTCGGACATATGCTCAGGCTTGACCTCAAAATGAAGAGTATATTATACTGATTGAGAAGGTCATAACCCCAAATACTCCACCAGGGAGAGGTAACAGGCAGAAGTTACCGCAGCTCTCCTGCTGTCATAGAATCGTACTTCGGAAGGTGGCCCTAGAACAGGGGTCTCCAAACTTTATAAACAAAAGGGCTAGTTTACTATCCCTCAGACTTGAGGGTCTGTGGCCAGTGGAAGTAGAAAATGTCCTCTCTGTAACAATGCCCCATCATTGGTGTCAGTGAGAGGAATAGTGCCCTATCATTGGTGCCAGTGAGAGGAATAGTGCCCCATCAATGGCGTCAGTGGGAGTAATAGTTCCCCATTACTGGTGTCAGTAAGAGGAATAGTGCCCGATTACTGGTGTAAGTGGGAGGAACAGTGCCCCACTGCTGGTGTCAGTGGCAGGAATTATGCCCCATTGTTAATGTCAGAGGGAGGAATAGTGCCCCAAGGACCAGATAATGGCAAGCAAAGGGCCGTATTTGGCCCCTGAGCCGCAGTTTGGAGACCACTGCCCTAGAGTATGGCTATGACTTCCCCTATGCACCAAGGGAGGTCATGGAGGAGATAGAGTCCAAGAGAGTTTCATGGTGCGACAAAGCAATATGGGACATCATGTACATCCCCAAGCCCTTCTGTGATGGGTCCAAACTTCAGCTCTGGGAAGAATTCCAGTCTGTTATTTTACTAAGCCTTAAATCATCATACTTGGTCATTGACAACTCTATACCGAACGAGGGTTTGTATCCCTACGCACCAATTAGCCAATTAGTTAATTTAAAATATAACCTTTATTAGGATTTTTGTAAAGATTTATGTACTAAACTGTATTCAATTCAAACCTTATAGACTGGGATGCACTGCACAATAATAACTAAATCCATTACAATAATTAGTCAATCTTATCCCTTACATCCAAATACTTACCAGCACCAAGCCAGGTCGTGATTTTGTACCATCTTTGGATGAATTGTAGCAGGAACAATTGTGGTTTGATTATATACCAATCAGGTAAAGATTCATACACTCGCCACTGAAGAAATGAAATTCCCCCAGGAAAGAACCCAATAGGTAGTATGGTCTATCTTACTTCAGATATGTAATATGGGTACACTCATCCACAGGCCTCAATTCAAGCCTCTAATGGACAAGCCCCATACTTCACCATATCAAGTCAAAAATATCTCACTGTCTTGAGGAATGCAAATAATGCGCTGTCATGTACAGTGCATACCACTCCAAAAAAAGGGAAGTAAGTACCATGTGCATTCAAAAAGTGCTCCCAAATGAGCCAAATAAAAAATTATAGAAAGAACCCTACATGTTTTGCTCCAACTACAGAGCTTCGTCAGGAGTTTGAAGAATTAAAATCAGATCATGTAGTGGTAAGAAGCTGTGCTCAGTATCACATGGTGGCAAGAAATGGCTAGAATTCCAGTCTGTTAAGGAGAACTGGAGTCTAGGGAGGTCAATCTTCACTGATAAAGTGGTGGTCAACTGAGCTGGACAACGAAGTCAGGTGTGGGCCAGCAATATCTGGGGAACTGACAGAAAAATGGTCCACATACCGCACCCAGATTACCATTGGTAATTTAGATTCAAGTTATTGCTGTCTGTTCCTGTAAAGACTTTTAGTCTTTAAAAAGTTGGCTGTTCTACCAGGGGCATCTGTTTGGGGGAAAAAAAAAAAAAAAAAATCGAACCTTTTGTTCAAGAGTTTGTTACAGTTGCTATCAGATGGCAATCCCCCTATTCTCAAATTCCCTTTCCCTTCTATCCTTGCAAACGGAAGAAGGGTTGTCTGGGGACTGCTTCTACCTTCAGGTGAAAAGACTTCTACTATGAGGACTTATCCCAGACACAGGACTATGGCCTCTCGGGGGTAAACCCCTTGTGCTCAAAGAACATTCTGCGAAAACATATGGCTAAATAGCCACTACTTTATCAAGTCAAGTTTATGTGGGCTGCTACTGTGGCAAAGGACAACTGCTCATTACTGTTCTACACATGTGCAGGAGTAAAAACTTTCTGCTAAAGCTTTTCCAGTCTGTTCTCAAGTTTCAAGCTCAAGTGTCTTCTAAACTCCAATTTAGGGCAATCCCCTGGTTCAAAATCCCTTTCTTCATCTTCCTGTGACAAAGGGGAAGGGTGCTTTGGTTCATGCCTGAACATGCTATGCTGAAGCAAGATCGGGCGAGTCATTGCTGTAGGCTCGGGCAATGGCTTGCCATAAGAAAAAGGTTACCCAAAGGAAAGAAACCTTTGTAAGGTCCTTGTTCTTCAAGTTCTCTATACAGGAACTGAACTTTTGCTCAATGTGACTCTTGTCAATCTCCAGAAGATGCTGTTTGAGCTGAGCCTTGGGGGCAGGTAATGGCTCATCAACAGGGACTCCTACAAGAAGTCACTTCTAGTCATCAGGAGAAGAATCCCTCACCATGTTCCATGGAAGTCTGGGCTCAGGGTCTTTCCTGGAGAGGACTGCACCAAGCCAAGCTGGAGACAGGCTTGCCTCATCTGGCAACTGTTGCCATGCAGCCTCAGGTGGGCGACCTGAGGGCCTGAAGAAGGAGAGGGGGCGACCCCTGGTTCTTCAGTTTGCTGACTAGGGGGAGCTGTCTGCCAAAAATCTGTCTGGTATCACTGGAGGGTGTCACTTGGAAGAAGGCTACCATTCTGTCCTTGGGCCTTGTGAGTACAGACACTTCTGAGATCATTGGGATTCTGGGGAAAATTCACTAAGTGGTATCCTACCTCATCCAAGTAAGCAGTAAGATGCCGCACAGCATTTTTCATGAGAAAAAATAAAAACTAAAATCGTTGGCATTCACTAAAAAGCACTACTAAAATACTGCGTGAGTTATTTTATTAAGTCATGAAGTATTTTATTACTGAAAACATGCGTTAATGTATCAGCTGCCAGGGGGTTTCCCCACTGACAACTGAATGGGTGGGGAGCCCCAAATCTCAACACCCCCCATGTGAGTGAGCGACAAGTCCTTTATCAAAAAAAAAAAAAAAAAAAAAAAGGTCCCCCAATGTAGATCAATCGTCAATCACGATGCCTGCTACCACCGCCAACCCAAAAAAGAAAAAGAAAAAAAAAAAAAAACACAACACATCTCCACTCTCGACAAAGGTTCCCATTCTGCTACCTGACAACTCTTAAATAAGTAAGAGGCAGGGCCAAGGGCCATCCAGTGATGTCATTGAGTGACCATGACCCCTTTTGATGTAATCAGCTGGGGCATGCTGGGTTGATGACATCACAAGGGCACCCTGCCCCAAAGCACCCCCCATGTTGAGGGCATGTGTCCTGGTATGGTTCAGGAGGAGCGCTCGCTCGTTCCCACAAACCGGACTGCATGCTCGGATAAGGGTCTGGTATGGATTTTGGGGGGAACCCTCACAACACTTTTATATTTTGGCATAGGAGTTCCCCTCAGAATCCATACCAGACCCGAAAGGCTTGGTATGGATGGGAGGGGAACCCCACACCATTTTTTTGTTTAATTGCTGGCAATTTTTTTTTTTTTTTTTGCATACAGCTGTCAGCGGAGAAACCCTCTGACAGCTGAGGACCCATAGGTTGTTAAGGACACGGAAGTCGCCCACTCCTTAACAACCATGACAGTTACAAGTACATACCGCATGCCTCGACCACTACGTAATTACCACATGCATTTAATTACTTATTTCTTTCTGTGAATTAACTCTATTTTCTTTTCATGCAGTATTTACCAAGCGTTTTTTCCATTTGCAGTAAATACTGCATACTAGCAATAGTGAATCGACATTTTCAGTATCACATGCGAGATGTGGTTTCGCGACTGACATAATGCATGTGATAACCTTTAGTGAATTGTCAACTCTGTGTGTTTTACTACCCCTCTGGTGCCTTATAGACTGCATAGGTCTATAGGGAACATTGGCCAGTGTTCTATAGAGCACTGTCCAATTTACTGCATGGGACTTTGCTCTAACCTGAAGTTACTGTGACTGCTACTGCAAAGGAGAAGTCTTTTTACCTGCTTTAGTCAGGACTTGCATGTGCTCTGAAGGAATGGCATGCCTGTGCTGTTCCTTCAGAGCTGTGTGCCGCCAAAAAAAGACTCCTGAACACATGCACGGGAGTGACGTCATCGTGGCTCGGGTATTCAAGCCGCCGATGCCCATGAACCTGGAAGAAGGACTGGGTGAAGATGGAAGCCCTGGTAGCATACTAGCACATTATAACATTGCCTTGCAGGGGAAACTTTTTTTTTTCTTGTAGAGTACCGGATATACTACGGTTTTAAACAGAGTAGACTGATGTGTTGGTACTTATTCTACCTTCATAAAACATCTAAACAAAAAAAATGTAATTAATTATCAGAGGAGAGCCTACAATTCATCTACACCTAGTGGGCATGTCAAATGATTTCTAGGATCTGAACTCTGTACTTTTGGTTCCCCGGGTATATACCTATTGTGTAGAGAAACAGCATACAGGGTACACACCACTCAAGGCTGACCAGCATGAGATCACA